CGCCCCGTGTCGTCCCGGCTCCCCCCCCGCCCCCCGGGGCCGCCGGCCGGAGGATGGACGAGGATGGACCGCGAGCAGCCGAGGAGGAGCCGGAGCCGGGCAGAGCCAAGACTTTCATCCGCCTTAATGACCTGTCCGGGGCCGGGGGCCGCCCGGGGCCGGGGGACAGGGAGGCGGGCAGCGGTGATTCGGAGGCGGAGGCGCTGCCCTACCCGGCGTTGGCCCCCGTCGTCTTCTTCTACCTGAGCCAGGAGAGCCGGCCGCGGAGCTGGTGCCTCCGGCTGGTCTGTAACCCGTATCCTTTGCAGGTGCTCGGCGGCGAGGTAAGCCCCGCGGCCCCCCCCCCCTTCTACCCCCGGAGCGGCGGGCATCTCCCGGCTGGAGCCCGCTGGGTGATGGGGAAGGAGCCGGGGTTTGGGGGGACCCATCACCCTTCGTTCCCCCGGGTTTGGGGCGGGGGGGGAACCCGGGCGGTGCTCTCCCTCCTCCCCACTGCCCGGCCGGGAAGTTTTCCGAGCTGTTGGAGGGGGCTCGGTGCTCCCCGCCGGGGTGCGGGGCTCCCCGCTCCCGGCTGCCCCGCCGCGATGCGCCGGTTCCCGTGGGCTCCGCCGCGCCGCTTCACCAGGAGTCGGAGCGGGAGCCCCGGGCGGCCCTTCCAGCCCCGGGGATCGGCCGGCCTCCCGTGTCCCCGCTCCCCCCGGCACACCGAGGGAGCCGAACCCCAGCCTCCCCCCCCTTGCAGAACCATTCTCCTCCCTGACCCCGTTTCTCACCAGTTTTAGGCTCCCGGGTCCCTTCCCAGAAGGCTTTAAGGGGGGTGCAATCTGGGGGGAGGCGGTGGTGCTGGGGGTTTGGTTTGCCGCCCGGCTCTAGGGTCCCTAAATAATTCACGGCATGCGAGGCCGGCTGAAGGGCCCGCTCTCTGCAGTGTCCTGGGGGATGCTCCTTGCTTGGAGGGATCCGGGCCAAGCGGGGATTACGGTCCCCGGGCCGTGCATCAGCCAAGGGCTGCTGCTTGCCAGGTCCTGGGGTGAGCCGTGACCCCACAAAGGTGTCTGGTCTCCTTCCAGACTCCCTGTCTGCTCCAGCACAGGCTCTGTGTCTGAGCGGCTTTAGTCAAGTTTAAGCTTTCAAAAGAAGAGGGGGAAAAAAAAAAAAAAAGAAATAGAAAAGACAATAGAAAAATTGCTTCTTGCCATGGTCTCGGTGCCTTTAAAGCCTCCCCTGGAGTTGAGTTGCAACCAGCACACTGTTTGTAGCATTGCAAGTGTTTTACCATCCCCAAACTCCAGTTCCATTTATTATTTGCAGAAACAAAAACCCGAAATGAAATAAAGCGAAGCGATGTGGCTTCCAGTAGGGGCTGGTGTGGGAGAGGCAGCCGCTGCCCGGCTGAGCGGCAAGTTACCGGGTCCGAGCCGCTCTGCCTGTGCAAAAGGCAGGCGAGTATGTATGGGCAGCAAACGCACATCTGGAGTGGGAGAGGCTGTGTGGTAGCAGGGAGGACATGTTACATGGTGTAGAGGGCCAGAATATCCTGTGTGAGTCCTCCTCCGCTCCTGGTGTGCGGGAACTGTTAGGAATTACATTTTGGCTAAGGTCGGTGTGCCCAGGAAGAGTGGCGAGGGTCTGCCAGAGTTGCGAATGTTGTTTTACTTGAGCTTCAGCAATAATTTATCTGATAAACAGGCTGCCTTCTTTCCTAAAATGTCCCCCAGGAGGGGAAAAACAAGATTTCTTTTCCCAGTCATGAATACTCCTGGCAGTTTCCCCCCAAATCTCTTTCACACCAGCTGAACAGTTCAAAGCTGCATTTATTTAAGCATCTTAGGAAATCTTGCAACTTTGTGAAGCCTTCTGTTTTGGGAAGAAATACTAACGACAGGCTGCAAGTCAGTGTGTTCTTGTTGCCTACTATGACTAATATTAATTTATGATTGCTGGCTTAAATATGTTTTCAAGTCTTTTTTTTTTTTTTTCATGTTCCTTCCTAATGATGCTGTTTTGAAGCAGGTGTTAACACCTGCATGTTCTTAGTTGTTTTCAGTAAAATCCCCCACCCCGATAATGGCTTGAAATGCGTATTCTCCTCTGTGGCTGCACATACAAGCAGATTAACTTTTGTCCTTGGAAAATTAGTGGTATTGTGGGCACCTGCAAGCTCTGCTGTGAGCAGGGGATGAGCACTAGGTGCAGCCCTGCAAGCTGGGATTTTCCTTGTCGCTAATTTTTCACTCATTACTGACACAGAAAGGCGCTTGCTGGGAGCCCCTGGGGCCACAGGGGACGATGCTGTGGGTCTCCGAGTCGTGTGTCTGCATGCGGCTTCTTGTTTTCAGGGTCACTGACCCAGAATTGGGGGAGTTTATTTAAAAACAACACAAAAAAAGCAGTTCAGCCTGCAGATGAAAGGAAGGCAGTGGCCAGCTTGGCACCCACACTGCGTCCCATCGCTCGCTGGGCCGTTCAGCAGAGCAGCATCTTGCTTGTCCCTTCGGCTCTCTGCAGCCTGAGTGCCAGAGCTGAGCCATTGCTTGTTTATATTTATTACTTCTATTTTTTCCCTTTAGTGTGGTGGGCCAGTAAAGTGGCCCTTCTCAGGCCGTAATCTTCTAGGAATCATGCTCTGGTGCTAAAACCATATAATCACGTCGCTGGAAAGTCTTTGTTGCCACCAGCTGCCCTGGAGAGGAGTGACAGCGCTTGGGCTCACGTGGCTGGTGAATCCTGCCCCGGTCCCTGGGGGTTTGGGGCTTTCACTGGCTTCTGCCGCTCTCTTGGGTGGTTTTTACCTTTCCATGCATGAGGCTGGCTGCCCATGAAGAAATTGGATGGGAAGGCTCTTGTTTGAGCTGTGCCTGTGGAGGTGCACGGCTTGCTGGCTTGGCAAGGCGGGTCTGCGGTGTGTTAATCTGGCTGATAAACTTTGCTGCTGACGAGGTGTCGGGAGGAGGTGCTGGAGCTGCTTCTGCACCCGCAGCTCCCTCGCCTGCCCCGGGAAGGGCAGCTTGTGCCCCTGGGATGCAGCTGGAGCTCCTGGGATGCTCCTCTCCATCCCTGTTCAGGAAGCTTGTGTGACTGTGGTAGCCAAGGCTGGGACGCGGGCTTAGGGGGAGCGTGGCGGTTGATGTGCCAAGTGTCCAGCAAGGACGCAAAGTCCTGTCAAGGTGGTTTGTTGGTCTTTTCTACTGTGTTTCCAGTCAGAGCATCCTCTGCCTGGGCCAGGGAGGCTTCTCCCTTGCTGTCTGGAGCAGAGTCGGGTGGACCTGTGCTGCTCTCCCCCTCCTCCTCTCCCTTAGGACTAGAAAGAGGTCATGAAGCTTGTCCTGATCCAGAAATACTCCAGCACATGAAGTCTTGGGTTTTTAACCCTAAAACTGTATCAGCCCTGCCAAGCTGTCCTCCCCCGCCACTCCATCGTGGTCTTTGAGCAAAAACCTCTCTGGGTGCTGCAAGGACCCAGGAGGCATGAGCCTGGTTTCCCACCCGCATGTTCCCGTTGGCTCTGGGATGAAAGGCTCTGCCCCGGGTGAGGACCACCTGGGTCAAAAGGGAAGGAACAGGAGCATGGGTGGGACGTGTTAAATGGTCACAGCGAAGGACCCACGGACTCAGGGTTGGGAAGGGCTGCGGTGACAGGCGGGGTGCCCTGGTGTGCGTGCTGGCAAGGCAGTGAGAGGAGAAGCTGGCATTTCTGAGGGGAGGGGGGAGAAAAGAGGAGGCAAGCTGGTTACTTGACTTTCACTTATAAAATAAAAGCACCATGAAGGCTGGGAGGATGAAAGGCTGTAGCGGGGTCTGTGCCAGGCTGCTTCTCTGATCAGAGACAAGAAACGAGGCTATTTCTTGAGAGTTACGGAGTGATTGAAGAGCGGGGATGGAGAAAGTGGGGAGGATGCTACCGCTTGGTGTTAAGAGCTCTGAATAGGAAAATAACAGTGTAACTGAAAGGGCCTGTGATCTCTATTGTAGTACTGAAATCTGCCTCTTCCCCCGCGCAGTGTCTGCCTGCAGAGCGCTGCTGCCCGGAGAGCAGCACGCCGGCAATGGGGGGGCTGCAAAAAGCTGCTGAAATGTGCTGTTCTGGGGAGACACCCCCAAACTGGTTGAAATCCCATCTTTTCGTCCCGGTTTGGAGGGTGAAAGGCAGCCCCGTGAATGCCCTCGCTGGGGAGGGTGGGTTTGGATGGCACTGGGAGGAGTGCTCCCATCTCGCCTGGCTGTTCCCGCGCACGGTCCTCGGGATTTGGGTTTCAAAAATGGCTTTAGGAAAGAAATGCATCTCTGATCCGGTCACGGCAACCAGCCCTGCCTTCTGCCTTTGGTCTGCAATAAAACCCAGAGGGCTCTTCCAGCAGCCGCCTCGCACGGCTCCGCTCGCTTCCCATTAGCGAGAGGTGGATGATCAAAGGCTCGGTCCTGGGGAGCTGCCGAGTGCCCCCAGCTCTCGTTGAAAGTCGGCAGAGTTGCAGATGGCCGGCGGCCTCCAGGAGCGGGCCCGGAGCCCTCGGGGCCTCATGCCAAGGCATAGCTGAGGTCTGCGCCGGGCTGGCTCACGGGACGGCTGGAGCCGCCGTGCTGGAGCTTGGTGCGTCGTGGAAGGCAGCGCTGGCCCCACCGAGGGGGCCGGTCAGCCCTCGCCCGTTGAGCTCGCTTCGAGCCCCGTGGGTCCATGTGCCGGCACCGCTCTGCATCGGCCTGGCCGGATCCGGCTCTCCTGGAGAGACACGTCTGTTTGTCCGACTGCACTGGGGCAAGGAGCCTCCTGCTTGGTGGGAATGAGAACCGAACCCGCTGAGCTGTACTGCGGTTTGGGCTTCCCAACCCCTGCGGTGCCTCCCAAAGCATTCCCATGGGGATGCCCACGGTGCGAGCAGAACCCCCGTCACCTCCGTGGGTGCTCAGGGTCCTCGTCCCCTCCTTGGCCGTGCCAGCTCATGGGGAGAGCTGGGCGCTGCACGTGCTGCTGTTTGAAGGGTTCAGCTGTAGCACAGGGGTAAAAATATAATTTCTTTTTTTGTTATCAAAAGGGTGTGTTTTGAGGGGAGAGCACACGCAGTGTCCTTTAAAGTTCGGTGCATCTGTTCTAACATCGCTTTTGGGTTGAACAAAGCAAAATGCTTTGTTTTGAGAGGTTGGACCTGAAAGGGATCTTAGTTTGATTTCAAAACCCTGCAAAGGAGTCAGAATCCGTTTGCTTCACTTGCATCTGATCCACCCTAGCGCACCTGAACTTGTTTCTCCCCCATGACCTGGTTCACCGGCCGGCACCTCCTGCCCCTCCTGGGGCAGAGG